TGCTATGCTGCACATTTGCGACTCGGCAACGATCGTTGAGTACGGAGACTGAATCGTGGCCTGAATACGGGCAAACGTGCTACCTCTATTGACGGTCACTTGTCGGTCAATGTGATAATTCGTTTTATTGAGATTTTGTTTTGAATCAAGAGACTATCGGAATGACTTTTGAATATTCGATTGACTTGGTCTTCTTACAGAAAACGACAGGAATGAATTGAATTATTTGTCATTAAATACGAGCCAGTAAGTACGATACATTAACTGGGTGACTACTAATTCCTCAATAAACTAAACAATCTTTCAGATATGAGAGTTATAAATTTTCAGTGTTATTGTAATATACCTTAGCCCCAAGGTTATAGAATAAATAGGAGACGAACTAAATAACATGGTTTTACTGAATTAACCCTTCAGTAGTTGCGTTCGAAATCGTTAGGCGAGTGGTCGAATGGATTACAATAGTCGACCATTTTGAAATTTTTTGTAAACTTTTTTATTATTAAATCGTTTTTTGGTCAATATTTAGACAGATAAGTGTATCTGTCAGTAGCAAAACCTTATATTATTTATTTACATGTTTATATATTACAAATGCAACGCTTTCTAAAATTTCACGTTTTTAAAAGCATGAAATAAAAGTCAAAAATGCTTTTAAACAAATTTCGTCATAAACATGCATGTGATGGGCGTTTTGAAACTCATGTTCTATATGTTTTTTGCAGTTGATAGTTTTAATCTTTTATACCATAAAATTATAGTTTTATGGTACAAAAAATAAAGAGATAGCCATTATCATTTGTACCAAATAACGCAAAGATATCAGAAACTGTTGAAACTTTGCGTTCTAGTATTTTTTGTTTCAATGTCGGCATTAGATTAGGATCGTACACATATGTTCTCTATGTGTTTTGACAAGACCCGCAGGAGCGGTTAGCACATGTCAGAGATCAGGTTGGTGCCATCGCAAATAGAAATTTTGGAAGTGAGAATTAAGAGGGGAATGAAGGGGGTGGGATAGTGGTACTTGAGGTGTGTCGTCATCGACGACAGTGCCCGTTGAATTTTATGGAACTGTGTAGGCGGTGAGTATTGACGAGGATTCGGAATAGGAACTTGAATTAGGCTGGAGAGCATAAATAGGGGAGGTAGTGGGGACAGTGGAGGGTTTTAGTCTGTCAGAGTGCACACCGAGTGTGAATGAGAACTGGATCCTTAGACAAACATGAGTATGAGAGTACACACCCAGAATGAAAGAGGACTTCGGCAGCCATGACTGTGAGAGTGCACACCAAGAGTCAATAGGAATGATGACCTTGTGCAGCCATGGCTGTGAGGGTGCACATCTAGAGTGGGGCATTAGACGCCCATGACTCTGAAAGTGCGCATTAAATGGGAACGAGAGGCTTAGGCAGACATGACTGTGAGACTCCTCACCGAGAGTGAATGGGAACGAGGGCCACGGAAAGCAATAGCTGATATATTGTAAAGTGAATGGTAACTAGGGCACTAGGCAGCCATGCGATAGAGCACACCGATTATGAATGGGATCGAGAACCTTAGGCAGTCATGCGATAAAGCACACAGAGAATGAATGGGATCGAGAACCTTAGGCAGCCATGCGATAGAGCACACCGAGAATGAATGGGATCGAGAGCCTTAGGCAGCCATGACTGTGAGAGTGCACACCTAGGGTGAATGGGATCGAGGGCCTTAGGCATCCATGCGATAGAGCACACCGAGAATGAATGGGATCGAGAACCTTAGGCAGCCATGCGAAAGAGCACACCGAGAATGAATGGGATCGAGTGCCTTAGGCATCCATGACTGTGAGAGTGCACACCGTGAATGAATGGGATCGAGAACCTTAGGCAGCCATGATTGTGAGACTGAACACCGAGAGTGAATGGGATCGAGAACCTTAGGCAGCCATGATTGTGAGACTGAACACCGAGAATGAATGGGATCGAGGGCCTTAGGCAGCCATGACGACGCGTCAAACGCGGCAAACGCGTGGGCGGCAGTGAGGGACGGAGGGGGCGTGGCTCGCGAGCGATTTAACGCTTCTCCCGCGGAAGCGGTACATAACTCTCGCGCAGCGCAACTTCCAAAAAGCCACCGCGCTCGCGTCGTAAACCGTATGCGTAATTTCACTGCCCGCGCCGAACATACATTTTCATTTACGCCGCGCACGCCGATTATTCGCCAGTTTATAAATGATGAACTTCGCTCTCGCGCGCTGTGGGTGAGGCCCCGATTTTCGCCGGAGGAAATTAACGCCCTCGCTAACTGACATCTGTGTGTCTTCTCATTGTCCTGTCTCATACCATGTTCACTTCGTAAAATCAATAGACGTGTTAACATGTTCTGATGTTGGGAAACTCAGAAGGAAGGTATATTACATGAGCTTGTCTTATGAAATCAATAATTATGAATATTGTAATCAACTAGCGGAACCCGGCAGACATTTTTCTGCCCTTCCCTCTCACTCTTTCCTCTCCCTTTCTCTCCCTGTCTCTCTCCCTCCCTCTCTCTCTTCGTCTCTCTCTCTCTCTCTCTCTCTCTTCGTCTCTCCCTCTCTCTGTCTCGGTTTTAGTTCCAAGATCATTAAAAGTAGTTAACGCACGTAGTACATACATAATTTTATTTTTTACTTAATGTTATTAATGGTGCTTCATTTGGATCGATTAAATTAATTCACTATCTTAAGAAACGGTATGATTTACGGCAAATGTATAGTCACCACACCTTTTTCAACAAATTGTCCACCAAGATTTCTAGTTGAAATAGAAGTAATTTCAAAATAACTGTATTTTTATAACTACATATGTTTATTTACATTATATTAACGCAAAACATGGCGGACATATATTGATTCGGTAATGGGTTTTTAGTATCATGTTCTCGCGCATTAGCATATAATTAGTAGAATATTTTGAAATACCTTTCTGAACTGAAATCAATATTTTATACATTTAAATGGTTCTAACAATCGAAAATAAACTTGCTATTCGTGAGAAAGTACTGTCCTAATCTATCATGATTGGAATACCAATCATTACACGGATCACAGCTTAATTTGCTTACTGTTTATAAATCCATTTTCCCGTCTTTAAATCACTTTGACTTTCAATGTTTGCAACAGTTACGTGTATTTCGTGTTTATTATTCTTTTCTTTACATTATTGGAGCACCCAGTAATGTTTTGACTTTGAAATGTAGTTACAAACTATCTTGTTTGGAAACCTTTCAAAACTATTATTTTGAATTGTGTAACTACTTAAATGTCATTTGGTTTAGATGAACTTTTTACCATCTTATCCGAGGGTAGTCTTTGTACCAAATGCAATGATACAGCATTAATGTGTCATCTTCAGAATAAACGGCCATTGCACCCACAGCGTAGAAGCGTGAGGGGGAGGAGGTGAGGAGTCCGCGAGGTACAAAAACGACGCAAGCGGCGGCGACGGCAGCGCCCAAGACAATGTTTGACTGTGCTCCGGAATTATCTCAACTCTCTGTAATTGCGAGAGAGACAGCCAGAGAGAGAGAGAGAGAGACAGAGAGACAGAGAGAGAGAGAGAGAGAGAGAGCGGGCGCGGCGCGACCCAACTTTCTAGTTTAATTTCCCACTTGTTTGACGCAAATACGCGCTCGTAATAATGGCGGAATCGCGACCGCGCTGGTCAAAGTGTGCCCTAATAATTATGCCCCAATCCCTTTAATCGCTTAATCAAGAGCCCGGCCCTGCTCGCTCCGCGGGGGCGGTGGGCGGCGCGCAGGGAGGAGGGGTAACAAATAATAAAAACGGCCTCGCGTCGGCCGGGCGAGCGGGCCAGGAGGCCACGCGGCCGGGGGAGGGGGAAGGGGATGAAAAATGCTTCCCTTAATTAAAAGCGACGGCTGTCTGCGGGAGGCTGCATCCGCGGGCGGTCGCAGGGTCATCGCCAAAAGGGCGGAGAAGGGGGGGGGGGGGCCGAAGGGCCGCCAAACGGTCCAAGCCCCCCACCCCCAGCGCCCCCAGATAACAGGCGGCGCTTGCGCAAACGCTGTCCGCAGGCTGGCCACAGCCGAGTGATTGCTACCTGCGTCTCGTCGTCTCCGGGGGCTCTTGCGGGGCAGAGTTTCTACTAATTAGGGCACTCGGGAAAAAATCTGAGGGCGTTGATCGCGGGGTTTGAATGGGGCTCTCATTGCGTTTGTGGATGCCATGAGTAAGTGTTCGTCGCTGCGTTGCATTGCTACAGACAGTTATATCTACGGGTCGGTAGCAATGGAACAATGAATTTCCTCGTAAGTTTTATGCTAAATATGAATAATACATTATTTTATTTACTATAAGCCTAAAATATTCTACTTTGATCACTCAGAGGACATCAAAACATTTGGAGTCATTTTTGAGAAAATTTGGAAAGTATTTGGGCTTCATTTAAAGTACACTCAAAATCAAAATATCCTTTTCAAACACGCATGGTCTGGAATTTTTTCAAATAGATCGCGGAATTTAAGTTTTGGATCTTCTGAATGTCTTAAGCAGTAGTGTGGACTCGAAACAGACAGACATTTTGTCATCAATCGATTTTTCGGCATCAAAGATTTGACGTGGATGACGTTTACGAAACTTGGATTCTGTCTACACACTGTGTTAGAGGTAGTAATGTAATACATATAGAAACAAAATGTATTGACTTTTTCGTTACCAGTGCATGCAGGTAGTGCTAATGTCGAAATGCTAAAATTTAAGGCATGTTTAACTACTAATCATTCCAGTTGATTTTCGAGACATCAGTATATCATGTCTTGATTGTTACTGGAAGAATATTCTTGCATTGTTGATTGAGTTGAAAAACCATTTTCTACATTTTAGGGAGGAAAAACTGACTCTAACATTTCCTTGCACAATTATAGAATAATTGTTTACCTTTCGTAGAATTCACCAACCACAGCACAGAATGCGAGTTTTGCTAGTGCAGTTTAAAATGTACTCTAAGCTCTAAACAATGTTACCAAAGTGCAGCGGTCTAAGCGCGATGCGCGTCTTTCTCGCTGTTGCAGTGAACGTGGTGGACGGGGAGGTGCTGCAGATCACCAAAGTGAGCCGGCTGCACATGGGCGCCTACCTGTGCATCGCCTCCAACGGGGTACCGCCCTCCATCAGCAAGCGGGTGGTGCTTCGGGTGCAATGTGAGTAGCACCACACTCTTAAATGGAGCGTTATTCAAAGAGAGTTATCACCAACTTTTGGGATTATGTTTTATCTATAGAATAGAGTTTTTTGTTATACCCTATGCACAATTATTACTAGTAATGCGACGTATTGAGTGAATATTACGAATGCTGCAATTTAAAAGTGAGAAAAATACTATTGAAATGTTCAATGATTGTATAACATGTTCAATAAATATATTTTCCCATCAATTCTTGAACTGATTTATACAAATATTTCTAAACTCACTGTTCTACATATATATATATATATATATATATATATATATATATGTGTGTGTGTGTGTGTGTGTGTGTGTGTGTGTATACAATGAGTATGAATCAACATAATTGTAATTATTAAAATTATAATGATAATTATTTAATTTTTTTAAATCAACATACGTCAGCCAATACTCAGCTGTCGCTAGAGCGTGAGGCCTTAATCTCTGAGTCGTGGGATCGAGCCTCACGTGGAACGGTCAATTTTGTCATAGTGTAGTGAATAAAACGAAATTTACAAAGCGGGAAGATGCGCAAGGTGTAGCACAGGGCCGGGCTAGCTCAGTCGGTAGAGCATGAGACTCTAAATCTCAGGGTCGTGGGTTCGAGCCCCACGTTGGGCGGTCAGTTTTGTTCTACGAGAACGAATATTTAGAAATGTCGGGCATGTCTACCCAGATTTATAAACGCCAAAATTTCATATTTTTTTTGTATTTTGAACGCATTATGTTTCATCACACTCCTTAGGAATTTCGGTATATTTTCATTTTTTGCCGTTCATATGTGGTATGCTTGAGGAATAGTTCGTAAGCATCATGAACATCCTTGCGAGAGGGAAGTGTACATACCAGTTCTTTAAATGCTAAAGATGTTTTGTAGTATTTTCGAATATTAATTTGTTTTTATTTTGTCATTAGTGAAATATTCCAGAACAATCTGTTACATTTCACGCAGATCAAAAACAGACACGGCAGTACGAGTGAATGACTAATTTATGAACGCAGTGGGAGGAATTTCAAAATATCCTGATGATTTATTTCATCAAGGCATTGTTATGATTGTATTATGGATTTTTGATTTGTGTTGCTGTATCCCGAATTCTATTGAATAGATTGAAGCTGTAAACTGGAATAATTATAGTTATTGTGTCACCGAAAACTTCAAACGGAACGTTCCCCTTTGTGAATGGGACTGTATGAATAATACAAACGTGGTCATCGCGGCAGGAACAAAGCTAAATATAACTAAAGAGTGCGTGATAACGAGAAATAATTCGTGGAAGTCTAATCGGCATTTGTTTAATCCTACGTGTTTTTACAAGCGTTCGAATGAAAAGTATTGAATAAAAATAAGAATATTTAATTCAAATGTTAAGAAAGATTTAAAAAATGTTTGAAGAAATATTTACTAAAATAAAAACAACTTATCTTAGAGTTCTCCACATTTTATTGGTTCGTAAAAATGTTTCGTGTCCATGATGTTTAGTCCTGAGTAGCCAGGCTGATCAGATTGTAAGCCTTTACAAAGCCTTTGCAAATTCAATGTTCATATCCATAGCCTTTCTGAGATTCTTCTGAGATTCAACCGAGTTATCAATCATGCAAAATGAATATTTCACTAAATGGCAAAGATTCCATCCCTGAATGAGAGGAAAATAATATAAATGCCAGTAAAAAACAAACCCATTCTACTGTAAACTGTACTTTAACTGATAATGACTCAATAGTGTCAATCAACACCAACCCTCATCTTTGGATTCAGATTCTCGTATACCAAAATTCCAAGACACAATCAGTATCTAGGATATACTTAATAACAAATACCATATATTATTCTAATGTACCGGTTCACTAATGTAGCAAATTGAAGTCTTTTCTAACTTTTGATCTTATATTAATTGCAAAGTGTTTGCAAACGAGCTACTTATGCATAGTGATATATCACTCATGCATTTAGGTTATTACAATTGGGAGAATTGGTGGACAAATTCAATATATATTACCTAATTAATTAGAATATATTTAGTATGCACAAATTTTATTATTAATATTGCGCAATGTGAAGATAAAATATCACTATTGACAAATGTTCTTGAAATAGGGAAAAATTGAATTGGACATGGAATATGTTTAGAAGAAATGAAATGGTATTCATATATTCATGGAATAATCATAACATGGAAGTATATTCTGCAGCTGAAATAAGAATAAGCATCTGCCAGTCGTGTTGTTCATGATATTCGTTCTTTTTTAAACAGATTATTGTTAACACATCTTCCGTGTCTTCGTTACTGGAAATTTCTTATTTTGTCACATAAGGATTAGCGGCAGCGTTAACATCTATTTATTCCTATATTTCCCACCAAGTACCGACTCGTCAACGTTTTCAATCGCGAGTAGTGTTTTATGGTTGAGCAAGGGATAAGATTGGTACTGAAATTATCAGAAACTTTAATTTTGTCGGACACTTTATACCTCGATCTTGCAAAGCCCACAAAAACCATTTTGCGAGGATCATTTTAATGCCGCAAGTACGTAACAGCATAGTGTTTTTCGTTGTTTAAAAATGTATACTGCTTGTCTGTGCATAACTAGCGTATTGAAGGCTGATATGACCAGTAGGCTAACCATTTTCCCACTGAGGAGCTTACATCTTCCAAATTACCGCAGCATATGCTGCTAACGCGAATTGTCGGTCGCGGAGGGCAGCGCGCGTATCTTGCAGGAAGAGCTCAGGCCAATTGACGCGAGCGATGGGGTCACAGTTATGGCAGCAGAGCAACAAGTCCTGGTGCTGCGCCCCACCCCCGTGCTCGCTTTCCGTTCACACTCCTACACCATTCGTCGCCCACCATCATCACTGCCATATCCACTGGTCCATCCACTGCCCCATCCACTGCCCCATCCACTGCCCCATCCACTGTCCCATCTACTGCTCCATCCACTGCCACCGTGCTCACGTCTGTCTACAACGCCCACATCGACTCCACTCTTGCCACTGTTGCCAACGCACCGCTGCTACTGCTGTTACTATCGACGGTGCCATCATTGCATGCATTCCGCTCCCACTACTGTCCGTCTCCTCATCACCCCGCTTCACACTCCAACCCTGTTGCCACCTCCTCCGCTGACGTCGCTCCCGTCTTGCAAACACCTTCGCCACCGTCTCCTCCACCCACTACTTTTCAGACCTCACCATTATCACTCCTCTGCTGTCACCAGACATTCCCCATTCCACCCTCTCCGACCACCGCCTCTTCCGTCTTCACACTCCCAACCACTACATCGAACACAGTTCGC